GCTAACTTCTAGCTCCAGCTGACTGTTGGCCTTGAAGGCAGCCCCACTTTTTTTATGCATGAGAAAAACAATGCAGTAAGTGATTTTTACAATACTACACACTATTAAGAAGTAGAATTAAGGTTTCAACCCAAACAATGTGTTTTCCAGAATTCATGCATAAAACCACTAAAATGTGTTGCCTCCCCATAGGAAATAATTTTCAGGCTTTTTAGGATTTGTTACCTTCCACATTTATCTACAATTAAATAAAGCGTATCTTTTCAAAGATATGTTACAAATGCTATATATTTAATTCAAGAAGGGACTAAAGAAGCATATTATGGACAAAGAAATTTTTTTCTTTACTTCTTAATTGCAAATAAAATTGTACTTTAAAGAAAGCAATAAGCTACATTTACATTGTAAGACTTTTATACTAGAGGATTATTCTGAAGAACATATTCATATCTTAAATGTGCCTGCCAATGCATTTTCTTGTATCTGAAGATATTTCTATACTGTAGGTAGATAAAGTAATATTATACAAAGCATTAAAAAGCATAGGTTTTTCTAAGAATAAACTAAAGTATCCTAGTAATGAATAGGCTTAGACAGCAAAAGATGTGATTCAGCTAGAATAGAAAGGCCAAAAAAATTAAAATTGCTTTAGAAACCACATGGAGTCTTAGCAATTGTTGGTATGGATTGAGATTTCATAGGAAGAAACAGTTTGAAACAGTTCACAAAAGGTCTTCAGATCAGATGTTTTACTCAAGCTCATGAAAAAAAGTGTTAAGACTTAGCATTAGCACTTAAAACTACAAACCTGTACTTTATTTAAATAATACTAATTATGTATGTCTTTTCATTCTACTTCGTGCTTCAGTTTCCCATAGTAAATGGGTAATGAATATTAAATAAGAAATATATATAAAGTATTTATAAGTTAAAACAGTGCCTGGCATGTGATAATTGCTTAATAAATATTAATTATTATTTGACATTCTCATTGGAGATTAGTATTGTAAACAGGGCAAAATAAAGTGAAAATGCATACTAATTTATACTTTATTAATTTTGACCAGCAAAGGAATGATAACCTCTGCAAATAATGATTCTAAATAATTATTCCAATCCAAATGCCTCTATTTGTTTCATCTTATTGCTCTGGCAGAATACTAAGTAGAGTAACAGTTGCCTATTAAAATGTGGGGGATAAAAAAGGGTACTACATCAGTTCACAGATCTATCTGCCTAAGCAGATTTCTAGGCAGAATGTTCAAAGTGCCAATTAGTTTCATTTATTGCCTATGATAAAGTTTGGATGGAGTAGGATGAGCTTAATACAGAGTTGTAATGTTTTCAAGCAGAATTTAGAGAAATAAGAGCCAACACTTGCTAGGTTCAAAAATAAGACTGTTTCTCGTTTCTGACCACTTCAGACAGCACAAGGTTCTCACAGTAAGAAATGACATCAATTCAAAGATCAAATCCAGGGAACTGTCAGCAAAACTGGGGCCTTGATCTCAAGGGTGAGACTGTAAGACCTTTATTAAGACCTGGGAAAGGTTGAAGGCATGTTCTCAGATTGTGCATCTAGTCAACAGGGCTCCTAAGGATCAAAGTTGAACCTCAATGATCTGTTTTAGTCCAAAAATGCTTCTAAGTATCTTAAGGGTATTATCCCACAACTGCCTCATACAAAGTCCAAAATCAAGAAGAGGTTTGTAGATATTACTTTTACCCCCATGGAATTCACTTTATTATGATACATAAGAAGTCCGCAAAATTTTAAAGACTTGAACTGTTTTTTTTAATTTAATTTTTATTGTATTTTTTTTTCCCCATCATCATTTAGTCCCCTTGTGTGAGTCAGTAGTAATTCACATGAAAAGGCCTCTGGGCCTTTACCTTCTACAGATAGGTAGGTACAGATAGTGACAAAACTAATGCATATGCAAAAGTAGGAAAGTTCTTTTTTTTTTTCCCTAAAAGAAAAGGCAACTCAGAAAAGGCAAAGAGACCAGAGGGCGGAGCTGACAGTTACAAAAAACCACTTCCAGAGAATAGGCCCACATCAATGAACCTACAACATGTTCCTAATTGCATATTTTAAAACTACTGTATTCCTCCCATTTCCCCATCTGAGCAATGTCTATTCTGATTATCCCTATCTCATTATTATATGTAGGGTATGTGTAAAGAGAACAACTAATAACATTAGTTCACAAGTCTTTCATTATAGCAGAACCATACTTGAGGAACTGTACCCAAAGAACTACACCTGAGCCCTGGCTGGTGTGGCTCAGTGGGTTAAGTGCCAGCCTGAGAACCAAAGCGTTGCTGGTTCGATTCCCAGTCAGGGCACATGTGTGGGTTGCAGCCAGATCCCTGGTAGGGGGCACATGAAAGGCAACCACACATTGCTGTTTCCCCCCTCTCCTTCTCCCTCCCTTCCCCTCTCTTTAAAAATAAATTTTTAAAAAATCTTCAAAAAAAAAAAAAATCCACACCTGACAAGCCACATAAAAACATCTCAGTTCAGGTACCTGGACATGACGTAAGATAGTGAAGTAACGGGATGGGACATTAGAGGTCTTTGGGAGAAAAGGTTAATACTTTCCTCCCAACCGCAGATCTCAAATAGTTTTCTATCCACAGGTAGTTGAATCCATGCATACAACGCAGTTCAAATCCATGTTCAACTGTATTTCCATGGGTCAACTGTATTTTCAATCCTCAGTTCAAAATCCACATAGGCAAAAGGCCAACTCAAGTTACACATGGATTTTCAACTGTGTGGGCATCCTTTTCCTTGAAGGGTGGTACATGTTGATAGCTGAATAGCTCTATCAGTCCATTTCTTGCCGTAAAATATTGGGATTACCATGACTTTGGTTTATTTTATCCAGTCTCTGTCCCTTTCAGTCTAAGTTGGTGTTTTGTTGTTATATCATTTTTAAAAATTTTGTTATACCATTTTAAAATTTTGTAATATACATGTTATTCCATGCATATGTTAAGATTACCCATGCCATTAGACAAGTATGTTCTCCCCAGATCTTTTCTGGCTAACTGCATCTCTAATCATGGCTTCTGATAAGAAGGTGGATTCCCCGAGTCACATGCCTAATCTCTCCAGCAAAAGTCTGCCCAGGCACACCCTTGAGTTCTCTCCAGAGCATGCTATAGAATTTCTTGCAACAGGATGAGAATTTTCCAAGTTACCAAGCTCTGGTTCCTTTTGCACAACAATTCCTTCCTCAATCCATCAAGTTCCTCTCATATTTTACTATAAATGACAGGGAGAAATCAGAGTGCAAATTCCACACTTTGCTTGATAATTTCCTCAGCTAACTATGCAAGAGTTCAATGTTTACAAGTTTGATTTTCCACTTAACAGTGGAATATTAATCAGCCAAGTTTTCTACTACTTTATAACAAGGACTATCTTCCAGTCTCTAATAACATTTCCTTCAGAAACCTTAACAAGAGACACTTCTAACATTCTGTTCATGATAACCTATGTATTCTCTAAGGTGACAGCACTTTTGCCTTCCCTCCTCCTCACTTCCTTGTGACCTCTCATCGGAGTCTAGGCTTCTTTATCATATACCCCAACATTATTCCAGCCCCTACCCATTACCCAATTCTAAAGCTACTTTCACATTTTTAGGTATTTGTTAAAGCAACACCCTCCTTCTTGGTACCAAACTCTGTATTAGTTTCCTTGGGGTACCATAACAAATTGTCACAGATTGGGTGGCTTAAAACCATAGAAACTTAATTTCTCACAGTTATGGAAACCAGAAGTCCAAAAATGAGGTGTTGGCAGAACTGCACTCCCTTTAAAGAAAAATAATCTTTATTGTATTTTTTTCTATTACCACTTAGTCCCCTTATATCCCATCACCTCAGCAACCACCAAACTGTTGTAGTCCCTTTTGAAGTATCTAGGGGAAAACAGTTTCTTGCCTATTTCAGCTTCTGGTGGCTCCTAGCATTCTTTGGCTTGTGGTAGAATAACTCCAATCTCTACTTCTATGCTCATATAGCCTTTTTATCTGTCTCTGTGCCACAAATCTCTCTCCTTTCCCTCATAAGGATACCAGTCACAGGAGTTAGGGCCTCTCCTAAATCCAAAATGATCTTATTTCAAGATCATTAATCTACAAAACCTGTATTTCCAAATAAGGTCACTGTATTAGTTTGCTAAGTCTTCCAAAACAAAGTACAACAACTGAATGGTTTACACAACACAAATTTACTGTTTCATAGTTCTGGGGGCTGGAAGTCAGATGAAGGTATCAGCAGGGCTGTCTTTTTTGAGGGCTGGGAAGAATCATCTGTGCCACGCCACTCCCCTGGCTTCTGGTTTCGGCTGCCAATCTTTGGCGCTCCTTGGTTTGTAGAACTCTGACCGCAGGCTTCATCTCCACATGGCATCCGCCCTGCCTGCATGCAGCTGTGCCCAAATTTTCCTTTGTATAAGGACACCAGTCATACTGCATTATGGCCCACCCTAAACACCTCATCTTAACTAATTACCTCTGCAACAATTCTATTTTCAAATAAGCTCACATTCTGAGGTACCAGGGGTTAGGACATCAACACATGCGTTCTTGGGGACACAATTCAACCGATAACAATATTTTATTCCACTAGTTTTTTTGCTTACGTGGTTTCTTTTTTTTGTTTTAATTTAAATTTTATTTCTTAGTTACAATTTACATTCAATAGTATTTTGTATTAATTTCAGATGTTCAGCATAGTGGTTAGACAATCATATACTTTACAAAGTTTTTCCCCAGTATTTCCAGTACCCAGCTGGAACCATACATAAAACTATCATATTTTGCTATGCATAATGTGCATATTTTTTGCCCCAAATTTTTAGGGGAAAATAAGGATGTATGTTACATATGGGCATAATGATTACATATCATGGGTATAACAACAGGTACAATAATCCCATGTATAATGTGCCCCAAAATGTGGGTACGCATTATACTCAGCAAAATACAATGTGATGCTTCACAAATTTGTGTGTCATATTTGTGCAGGGGCCATGCTAATCTTCTCTGTGTCATTAGAAGTTTTGTATATGTGCTGCAAGAGCACGCATACTTTCATGGTTTCTAATTAGAAGTCAGCTGTAAATCTTATTCTTGTTCCTCTATAGGTTTCATGTTTTTCTCTCTGCATTTTTTTCAAGATTTTCTCTGTTATTGGTCTTCTGCATTTTGAATATGTTATGCCTAGATGTTTATTTTTTGGTATTTATACTGCTTGAACTTTTCCTGCTTGAGTTTCCTGGATATGTGGTTTGGAGCTTGTCATTAACTTTGGACAAGTCTCAGGTACTATTACTTCAAATAGTTTTTCTGCTCCTTTCTCTTTTACACCTCTGTATTTCGATTACACGTTTGATATACCCGTCATCTGAAATTGCCCCAGAATTCTTGGCTGCGCTGTTCTGGTTTTTTTCCATTCCTTTTTCTCTTGACACTTCAGTTTGTGAAGTTTATATTAACCTATCTAGGCTTGCCAAATCTGTCTGCAGCTGTCCAGTCTACTGATGAGCCCACGGAAAGCATGCTTTATTTAGGTTACATGTTTTTGATTTCCAGCATTTACTTTCGATTCGTAAGAGTTTCCATCTCTCTGCTTACGTTACCGTTTGTTCTTGCATGTATTGTACTTTATCCATTAAAGACTTTAATATATTAATCATAGTTATTTAAGAGAAATCTGGTATCCTGGTCATATTTGAAGCTGCTTCTGATGACTTGTCTTCTCAGAGTGTTTTTCCCAGCATGCCTTATAATTTTTTGTTCAAAGTTGGACATGATGTATCAGGTAACAAGATGGAGATAAACAGGCCCTAAGAGGTTATGTTAATCTGGCTATCAGGTGCACTATTTTTAATGTCTGCTACAGCTGAAGGTACCAGAAGCCTCAAATTCTCCCAATGTCCTTCTTTTTGTCTCCCCTATTGAGTTCCGACCTCCTTAAGAACTCCCCCTCAGAAAGAGCCTCTGCCTTAGAGCTGCGTAGCCCACTGTTACACTGCAGTCTTCTTGGTGTGGTGGTGAAGTGTAGGGCAGAGGACACATATCTACCCTCGCGGCACCATCCAGCATAACTTTATGATTAAACCTCAGTCTTGGAATGGGTCTGTGTTCCCAGTCTGTGACCTTAAGAAGTGTTTCTTATTTTCCACCCTCATTCCGACTTAGGTGAAACAGATAGGCTACGTGGCGCAGGAGTGGGAGAAATGCTCTTTTCCCAGGAATAAGGCTCTGGGTAAAATCTTTTCCCCTGAAAAGGAAGCCTTGTTTTAGACAATACTCTGGGCTTCTTTCTAAAGGTTACACTACCCCTTCCATGCCAGAGCCACTACGAATCTCTCTTCACTGTGAAAACTTAGTGGGTTGCCTAGAAGTGAAGCCCATGAATGTGCCGGGGCTCCCAAGAGTGTGATCCCAGGAGTTTTTCACTCTGAAACTAGTCCACATTCAGTATCTTGCAATTCATCAAAATTACCATTTAGGTGTTCCTACCAGTTACTTTACAGTTACCGTTGCTTCTGTTCCAGGTAAGCAGACTTTGGCAGTGACTCTCTGGGTTTGCTACTCTCCATATTTCGGAGAGGCAGTATGCTCTACAACCTTAATTCTCTTGTAGATCCATAAAAAGTCCTGCTAATTCTTTAATAATATGATGATTTTTTTTTGTAATTTATACAAAGTTGTTGGCAATTAGAATGATAATCTTTAGAGTTGGCCAAAAAGTCTGTTTAGTTTTTTCTGTAAAATAAATTGGTTCATTTTCACCAATGATTTTACTGATTTGGAATTTTGAGTATGCTGGCTATCTCCTGCTACTGGTTTCTAGTGGGTAGAGGCCGGGGTGCTGCTAAACAGCTTCCAATGCATAACGCAGCCCCACAGCAAAGAATTATAATGCCAAAATGTCTACAGCACCAAGAAACTTCACAAACCACTTTTGACACGTTCCATCAGTCACAGCACCTTCTCCATACACTGCACAAATCTTTTTTTGCATTTCAATTACACTTTTACCTTTCTTAAAATAATAAAGCCTAATATGGTGAAAATGTTGCATATTTTCTTCCATCTTCAATAATAAAATGGCTGCACAAAAATTGACCAATTTTGAAAAATTTTTTAAAAATACACACTGATATGACAGCTGCCACAATACAATCTAAAAAATTGTTTCAAATTGTACAGAAAAAACTAAACAAAATTTTTGGCCAGCCCAATACTATATGCTAATAGCAAAGACTCCCACCTCTCACTATTGCCCCTCTATAAGTTTTTCTCAATCAGTACTCTAGTAGAGAGTTAAGTGCTAAAGAAAATGATTTTCAAATTATTTTTTCAATTCTTCCAAGAATGCTACACTGCTAGTAACATTCTAGAAACACAGAAGTTAGTTTATTGACTTTTTTTTTTTTTTTAAGAACACAGGCCAGTTGTCATTTTTTTAATAGCATGTTTCTGGTTTTGGCTTTGGCTGATGTTTTCTTATGATTAAATTTAGATTATATCCCTGGTCAGAATACTACACAGCAATATTGTGTCCTTAGTTTTGATCACGCAGGCAAGGTTATTATCTGGATCTCTACCATATAGTTAAGACCACAGAAATACCCTGCTCCTTATCAAACTCCTTAGTCTTGATGCCAGATTTTTCACCCACTTATGATACTTGCCCAATCAGTCTTTAATACGATTATTGCAATAATTCTGTAATTTCACTGCTTACTCCACATTTATTAATCAGCATTCTGTTGTATGTTAAAGTTCACCCAGTCCCCTTTTGATCAGTCTCTCACTCTCTTTCTTTAGTATGGACTAATGGCTTCCTATTTTTTCAATGGTTCATTACTGTCCTTAATTAGATGGATGCTCAAATAGTCCCAGATTTGATCAGTGAAAGTATCATCAGGCTAGCTCCTGGCTTCTTTTGTTATGCCCCCATCATTTTTTCTTTTTCTTTTTCTTTTTCTTTTTTTTTTTTTTGAGCATTTCTTCTCTTCTGGTAACATTAAGATGTGCCGGGCTCATCTAACATCTTCTTTTCCTCAGCCCTGGAAATAAACATGTCTCCAAAGATCCCTGGTTCCTTTCAGAAGGGAATGGTATTAGTGCCAGGTGTACTCACTGCTTTTAAAGTTGTTTGAGTTTGGACCTGTCATATCCAATTTAGTAGCCATTATGCAAACGTGGCTATTTAAATCAAAATTAATAAAAATAAATAAAAAATTCAGTTCTTCAGTTGTACTAGCCACATTTCATGTGCCCAATAACTACATATAGTTAGTCACTGCCATATGAGTCAGTACAAAATATTTATAGAGCATTTCCAGCATTACAGAAAGTTCTATTGGACATTAGTGTTCTAGAACATTTCACAAGGCAAACTTAGGCAACACAAACACACAGGCGGACATACCTAAGTTCTCACTCTCCATTACATTTTAAGTATCTTCCTTTGTTCTACTGCATTAATTCTTTCTCATTATTAAACAACTATTTGTTGAGGACATACTATTGGATAGTTACTGTTCAAGGCCCTAGAGATTTAGAAATGCACATTCCTGTTCTCTCAAAAATTAAATGTGCACTACCAGTCAGATGGAGGCATAAGCAGACACACTTTGCCTCTCCACGCACAACCACAAAAAAAAAAAAAAAAAAAAAATACTACAACTAAATCTCAAAACCAAGTGACACCCAGAACTGTCAGAAAAGCAAACTGTATGAAATCCTGACAACCAAGGAGTTAAAGAAGCCACATTCAGGGAAACAGGTAGGAGGGTTGGAGACATGGAAACTGGGAGGAGAGGCAAGGAGATGCAGTGTGGCATGGAGAGGCGGTAGTGGTGGAATGGGCACAGGTGGTCCACGTTCACATGTGGTGGATAAAAATTAGGAGGGATACCTTGGGAGAGAGTGATTCCAGCTGCAGGCCAGACAACACAAGCCCAGGGTTCCAGCACTAGGTAGATAAATCCCCATAACTTCTGGCTCTAAAAACCAGTGGGGGTTGGGGCGGCAGAAGAAACTGCCAGATTTTTAGGAAACTCTACTTAAAGGGCCTGCAAGATTTTAAAACATACACAAATCCACCCACTCTGGGATTAAACACCAGGGCAACAGCTGGAAGGGAGCCAGCCGCAGACAGGGAGTAGGTGAAGTGACTGAATGTGGGACAAGTGTTGGGTGAACCCCCAGAAGCCAGGCAGTGGCATGGTCCCCTTGTCAAGTCCCCCCACCACACACACACAGAGCCACAAAGTGGTAAAGTGCATTGCCCCACCCTGGCAATTACCTAAGGCTCTGCTCCACACAATTTTCCGTTGTCTTTTATAGGGAGTCAAAGCAGCTCTACTTAACACACAGAAACAAACACAGGGAGGCTGCCAAATTGAGAAGACAAAGAAATATGGCCCAAATGAAAGAAAAAGAACAAAACCCCAGAAAAAGAACTAAATAAAATGGAGATAGCAAGCCTATCAGATGCAGAATTCAAAACACTGGTGATCAGGATGCTCAAAGAACTCATTGAGTATGGCAACAACATAAAGGAAGAAATGAAGGTTACACTAAGTGAAATAAAGAAAAATCTACAGGGAACCAACAAGGAAGGGAAGGAAGCCTGGATTCAAATCAAAAACTTAGAACATAAGGAAGAAATAAACATTCAACCAGAAGAGAAAGAAGAAACAAGAATTCAAAAACAACAAGAATAGTATTAAGACGACTCTGGTACATCTCCAGAAGTGCCAACACCCGAATCATAGGGATGCCAGAAGACGAGGAAGAAAAAGAAATTGTAAACTTACCTAATTTGAAAAACTTACCATTGAAAATATAATGAAAGAAAACCTCCCTAATTTGGCAATGGAAATAGACATACAAGGCCAGGAAGCACAGACAGTCCCAAACAAGTTGGACCCAAAGAGGACCACACCAAGATACATCATAATTAAAATGCCAAAGGTTAAAGATAAAGAGAGAATCTTAAAAGCAGGAAGAGAAAAGTAGAAAGTTACCTACAAAGGAGTTCCCATAAGACTATCAGCTGATTTCTCAGGAGAAACTTTGCAAGCAAGAAGGAACTGACAATAAGTATTCAAAGTGATGAAAAGCAAGGACCTACAACCTAAATTACTCCGTCCAGCAAAGCTATCATTTAGAATGGAAGGACAGATAAGAATGTTTCTCACACCAGATAAAGCTAAAGGAGTTCATCATCACCAAGCCATTATTACAGGAAATGTTAAAGGGACTTATTTACAAAAAAGATCAAAACTATGAACATTAAAATGGCAACAAATTCATAGCTACCAACAACTGATTCTAAAACAAACCAACAAACAAATAAAGCAAACAACCAGAACAGAAACAGAATCATAGGTATGGAGAGCATTTGGAGGGGTATCAGCTGGTAGGGGAAAGGCGGAGAATAGGAGAAAAGGAGAAAAGGTGCAGGGATTCAACAGCATAATTGGCAGGCACAGAATAGACAGGGGGAAGTTAAGAATAGTATAGGAAACGGAGAAGCCAAAGAACTTATATGCACGACCCACTGACATGAACTAAGAGGGAAGGACTGCTGGAGGGAAGCGGGGTACTGGGTGTAGGGTGGCAAAGAGAGGAAAATTGGGACAACTGTAATAACGTATTAAACTATACTTAAAACAGTAAAATGTAGAATATAGTAAAAAATAAAAATAAAATATTTAAAAATATATAAAAATTAAAAGTAATGAGAAGACAGAAAAATCAATGATTATTATAAAGTGATGTATTATTATAATACAGGATGTTATATCAATATATATACCTCAATATATATGTCAAGGAAGGTTTCCTGAGAGAAATAAGGATAATTTGGGGGTGTGAGCATTTGCTATTATCCATCAGTTTTTTCATCTCTGTTCCAATTATTCATTTAAAATGCTTTCTTTTTCTCTCCCATACCTTTTCAAAATTCTATTTGTCTTTCAAAGCCAATCTTTCATGATGCATTTCTTAATACCTTTAACCAGGCAAAGCCCCCTCCCAAACTCAAAAATATACTATCTTTACTGACTTCAAGCACACCAAGATTTGATTTAATTTTGTTGTTAACAATGTAATGGGCTCTAAGAATCTAAGAACATAAGCTTTGGAATCAGACTTGTTGCTTAATAGCTGTGTGACCTTGGGCAAGGCTACTTAATCTCCCTGAATCTCAATTTCTATATCTAAAGGTAGGATTAATAATAACTCATATTTATATTTTTATGTTTGAGGATTAAATGAAACAATGTACTGAATGCTTAGTACAGTGACTGGAATACAATAAATTACATGGTTTACTAGTAATGATAATCTTACACTTCTTCCTTCCTTTTTTTGCTGAAAGTTCTCAATTTGTTTACACCTTTCCTGGCCAATCTTTACATTATCAAGGCATGTGTATAGCATTTTAGTAACATCTAGCAAATCCCCTAAATTACTCAAGCAGATTCCTCCCAGTCCACAAATCAAGACATATTCACATGTAAAATATTTTAGACAATTATATTTGTAACTGTGAAATTACAAAATTGATTTCAAAAATATTATTTATCTATTGCTTATAGTAACTTTAAATAAAAACCATTAAATATGATTTCATATATAAAATTATTAAAAATATTTTCTCATTTGGTAAATTCTGAAATAAAACTTAATTAAAAATATTTTCAAGTCGGTGAAGCATCCTAGTAATATCTGAACTACTAAATGGAAAAAATCAATCTATTAATAAAAACCTATTTGTCTGAATCCACATTCCTATTTCTAACTGGATCCTATAAAACCATACTTACAATTGGTTACTAATGAAACAACGCATCTTGATATTTATACAAGTATATTTAAAATACTTAATGTAGTTATTATAGAAACATTAATAATATTAAATGACAGCATCAAAAAGAATTTCTTTCCTTTGATATACTCTTTAAAAATATAATAGGAAAAAAAGCATGTCATACAAGAATTAGAAGAAAACCTTACTCTGCCCTTCATCAGTTTGTGTAGGTATGCATTGAAGATATATGGCTAACATTTTCCTAACAAGTAAGAAATATGCTTTTCAATATGAGTGCTTTTAATAAAGTGTATTTTATTTGTAAAAAGTGAAAGAATGGATGTATAAAATTATTTCTAGAAAAAAAATATTGACTGCTCACCAAGATTAGCAAATGCCAAACCCAAAACGGAGAGCAATGCCATTTCCTCTAAAATTACTGACAGCTGTGAAGATTTTATTTACTCTTTTTACTAATCAAAGACAAATATGTAAGTACACTTGTTTTCCTTACCAGTAAAATTTTAAAAATCACCTTAATATGTAATTTTTCTTCAAATTATTTTAAGTATAATAGTGGATTTAAAAACGGAGATGTGAGAAATTTCAGATTACATTGCTTATGTTTAAAACATTAAATCTCACTAATATACTGTCAATACCTATTATATCACTTATAAACAATATATTTAAAACTTTCTAGATGTAATTACTCTAAATAACAGTGTGTAATCCATATCTTCCTTACATAAAATATATTGATAATAAAATCTCTGTTCATGTTTCCCAAAGGCAACCTTACCTGCGTAGTCCAATAAAAAGTAGGGCTCAATCTGTAGAGTTTTCGTTTGTGGAAACTCTGAAGTGGCCTTGTTCGAGCTGCTGTACTCATGAGAGTCAAGGATGGTGATTTCAATCTTGTCCTGTCTTTTTTCCTTTTCTTACTGTGCTTCTGGTTAAGTAACCAGCTACTCGAGGAAGAGAGCTCATCTAAATTCTCTGAAGTACTGAAATGCCATGAAATAATTGGGGAGTGGAGGGAATAAAACAAAACAAACAAACAAACAAAAAAGACAAAGAAAACTAAATGTAAATTGCCTTAATCTATTATGACAGAAGAGTATTTATTTTAGCCAACTTTGTGGTAACAATTGGTGAAAGAATCGATATTAATGAGGAGTTACATATTTAAATTATGGAAATAATTTTTACTTCTATTTTCTCCTGCAAAACAAACATCCCATAGGTTAGAGATGCTCACATGAGTTTACTAGTAGAATGTAAATGTTCACTGTAACTCAATAACTCATGTATTATATACAGTGTTATAATTATTTAAATTAATTTTTTTGCATATGGGTGAAATTACATTGGATTATAGTTTTAAAACAGGGCCAAGCTCATCACTACATCGTTAGTTGCTCTTCAGCACTACATACTATTTGAATTTTGAAAAAAAGATGCAATCTTACTATATTTTGTAATTTTTTTAAACTTCTGATGATACAGAAGTCACAGCTACAGAATAATGAAAAAGGTCACACAAACTGCATATGAAAAACCATATTAAATTTGTAATTATTATTCATATTAATTTTAAACACTGTATTTAAATATTTTAAAACATCAGAACTTCCGGAGAAAGTCAATGCTTAATGCCATGTAAATTTAACTTTGTTTATACCAGTACATTACATATAAAATAATTAAGCTTTTCAAGCACTACAACATACCAATCTCAACATTACTTATACACAGAAGCTACTCAATTTAGCACTCTAAAATGAACAAGTCAATTTGCTATATGTGATATATATGTTCACATCAACATATAAGTTCTAAATGTGCCATTTGATTCAGGTAGAATCCATATTTAATGGTAAGTGTGAGATAGGGCTTTTCTGTAGCACTATCACTGGTCTCCCCTGAACCATACTTTTCCCCTCCAGCACGTTCTGTACCAATCCTTTGGGAAAGTAAGTCTGATCCTGCCATACCTTTTCCTTCCATCCCCACGCTGCTTAGAATCTCTCAAAGCCTTCCCACTCCTCTTGAGACAAAGACTTAAATCCTCACTGTAAAAGGCCCTGATGGATCTGGCTCCCGCCCTCTCTCTCCTGTCCCTTCTTGCTTCCTCTGTTCCATTCCCTCTTGCTTCCTCTGTTCCAGCCACACCGCCTCATTTCATTTCCAATAACTCACTCTCTCTATAACCTAATATACTCGGTCGTACATTATTACTGCTTCCTGGAATTGTCTCACATCCTCCTTCACCTACTTGATTTTCGATAATCATTTGACTCTCAGTTCAAAAATAAATTCCTAAGGGAAGCCTTTAAGCCTTTGCCATAGTCTCTCCAAAGACTAGGTCAAATCGCCTTATGAGCTCTGATAGCACTGTTCACCCTTCCTTCACAGCACTTTCCATGGTGACAATTTTACATTTATTTGTATAAGTATCTGATTAATGTCAGTCTCCCTTTAAGTAGCACAGATACTGTTTTGTTTACCTTGCATCAGAAGTTCCTCTTATTTTAGAAATATATATATATTTGCACTACCTTGCATTCCATTCTAAATCTTTAACTCTTTGGTTTACAAAAGTTATTTTTTGATAGTAAAATATAATGTATTCTATTTTCTTATAATCAAATGACAAATTTAGAAGAATAAGCAGATGAGAGCTGCAAGACGTTTTTATTTGTAAAAGAAAAGGCATTAATCAAGTCTAAAAAATATCTGAGAGCTTTATCTAAAAACATAATCACGAAGTCCTGACTTCATGTTTTATTAACACTTTAATTTCTTTACGTCATTTGATGACTTTATGAAAGCACCGGTTTTCTATTATGATCCTAGAAAATCTTAGCAGTTAAGATATTTATGGATGATAACGACAGGCATTCAATTTGCTTTTACAGAACATAAATAAAAAACATCGAGTGAATTTTTTAAACAATCTATTTCTATACTCTGATTACTGTTGGAACCAAAGGCCCAGAAGTGAGTCAATTAATCTTTTACTTGATATTTTACTATAAATCACTACCAAAATCAATTTCTGAAAACAGTATATACTTATATCATGATTAATAAATTAAAACAACCTAAGGATATAGGCATGTGGGGACATACATTAACTTCTTGGTGTCATCTTGGTGGTGGTAGTAATGGTGGATAGGACAGTCTAATTTTAAATGATTTTTTAAACAAAACTAAAATTTTTCATAGTAAATTATTTAAGTATTTAATAACCTTTGCTTAAACCAAACTGTGTTCTTAGAAGGACTAGAAGTAAATATCATGAGGCTATGCTCAAAATCCTTTAGTAAATAAGAAGCTTTTGAACCTGGTTATAAATTTAGAATGCTACAACCACAAGAGCAAAGAAAAGATTTCATGAAATTATTTTTAATTTCAATGACTAGCAGAGAATAAATATTCAACACAGAATTTAAAAGTACTATTTTAGACCAGTGGTTTAACATTTTCCCCACATTTACCTAGTCTCATATTCAAACACACTGCAGAGAAAGCAGACATCAACCATGGAAAGGATTGTTAGAGGGTGCGTTCTCAAAGAGATTATGACAGGCCCCGCCCCAGTGCCCCATACCTTCATACACACAAAACCCACGACCCCCCCACACTGCTTTGAATAGCGCCCTCGCAAATTTTCCATCCACCAGGAAACTCACACTGTGACCTTATTTGGAAATACAGTCTTTGCAGACATAATTAGGTAAGATGGGGTCATACTAATTAGGGCAGGCCCTAAATCTAATCACTGATGCCCTTCTAAGAAGAAACACAAAGAGAAGACCCGCCCAGGGAAGAATGCCGTGTGGAAACTGAAGCAGAGATAGGAGATGGTACAGAAGCCATAGAACACCAAGGATTGCCGTCAACCACCAGAAGCTAGGAAAAGACAAGGAAGGGTTCTTTTCTAGAACCTTCAGAGAGCATGGCCCTACCAGATGTCTTGGTTTTGAACTTTTAACCTCTAGAATTGTGAAAGAATACATATCTGTTATTTTAAGCCAACAAGTTCGTGGTGATGTGTTAAAACAGCACTATGAAACTAATATATCCATAAAAAGACACACATAAGAATATTGTTTTCCCATGACTTGTAATCTCTGTTTCAAGTTTCTCCTTTTCACCAGTTGGAGTTCTTTGATGAATTCAATCAATACTAACTAAGGTAGGCAGCAAACTTTCCAAATTTTCCCTGATACCCAATGTCCTGCCAATTGCTGAATTTACGATCTTCTTTTCCTTTAATAATGTTTGAACCAGTAAATGCATCATAGACTTAGATAACTCGATGGTTAGGATGACAGGAACCAATTTTAAAGGAATTTATAAAATCGAACTTATATAAACCTACTAAAATGGCCCACTAGGGGCATTACTATACTCCAAGTGGCAAAAATAAATACCTCTCTCAAATCAACATCCAGGCATTATCTGGTGGAGAGGAAACAGGGCCTTGACTAGGCTATTTCCCCTCCCTTGCATATTAAGAAGGGGAACTATACCCCTTATTCAAAAATACAAGTCTCTTCAAACCTAGCAATAAGAAAATGTGTTAATGTATACGGTAAAATGGCATTCTAAATTAGATGTGGTAGCTCTAAAAAATTAAGGCATATACCTATTGTAAAAAATGAAGGTGCATCTTAATACAGCCATTAAAATGGAAAAAAAAATTTAAGTATAAAAAGCTTCAGATAGCATATTGAAATAAGATATAATATTGCTTCCAATAGGATCTCAGTTCTAAAAATAATAGGAAGGAAATATACACTGAGTAATATAAGTAATTTCCATTTTGTTCTCAGCATTTTGTGAATTTTCTAGTTTTCCCAGAATAAGCTTGTACTGTTTTTATAAGAAGAAAACAAAAGAAGTCATCTAAAAATTAGTCTTTTTTGTGTTAAGGACTTTCTAATACATTATTCAATGGCAAATAGAGGATAAAAGACTTCAGAAACATAGTTACTAAATATAATATGGACTTTCTTTGGATTCTAACAAATTAACCATAAAAAGGCAATTTTGAGACAACAGGGAAAATCTGAATACTGATACAGAATTTCATGATGTTAACAAATTATGGCTCTTATATAAGAATAATAAGCATATGATAACATGAGCATATGTTTAAAAAGCTTATCAAAGAAATATACAGAAGTATTTACAATTAAAATAACAATCGATAGAATTTGCTTTTATAGAGTCAATAGGCAATACTCTGTCAGGAAGGGAATTAGCTGACATGAGTTAGCAAAATCTTGAGAATTGTAAATGCTCAGACTATATGGATTCACTTTACTATGCTTTCTATATGTTAAAGCTTTCCATAATAAAGGTAGAAAGAAAAAGAGAACCACGATTGCAGTGCTCTCTGCCATTCTGATCTGCCTCTGAACTGCATGTGGGACTTTTCCAGGAAGCCAATATAATAGTTATATTTTTCTGAGAATCGAGACATAAAGGTTGTCAAATACTTCTAGCTAATACACAGTTTGGGAGATACAGTTCTGATTCTTCAATGTAACCTCTGAACTGTTTTCTGACATAAGAGATTTAAGTAGTTTGAAACTGGGACTTTCTGTTTTACTGTTTTTCATTTTAAAAGAATATCAGGAAATAAAAAACTTTAAAAAATGAAAGCTAAAATATTTTTCAAAATTGCATTATCTAAACCACAAACACAGCTTTCAATAAAATTTTGGTGTATAGCCTTCAGGTTTCTTTTTTTCCTATGAAATCATACTGTACAATGAGTTTGTTATCTTGACTTTCCCCCCTTAACGTTCTAAAAGAAGCATGTTCACATATGATTACACACTTTCTATACACATAATTTTTAATAGTTACATGGCATTCCATCCAGTGGTTTTATAACAATCTATTTAAACATTCCCTGTAACATTAGGTTTTAGACTTATATTAACAGCAAAAAAGAGAAAAGAAAATTTTTACAAAAGAGAATAATTCC